CAATTATTTATCTTCGATCTTTCTCCGGCTTATATACTAAAAAAAAGAGGGCGTCTAGCAAACGCTGGGACATTCGCGAGGTTGCCCGCTAAGTCACGATCCTTCTAGAAACTCCAACGCGCATGCTCCCAGCGTCGCGTAACTTCCGCTGTCGTAACAATATACTTTACATAACGTGATAATGTTGTATTTTTAACGTTAACTGAATTTATATTATCGTGACATCTTCTAATTAACTTACAGTTTATTTTATGTTTTCAAACATTTAGTGTGTTGAAGAGTGATAACCCAAAACGTCGTATTATACGAACAAGTTTTATTACCAATATTTTACTATTTTTCTTTTCGTCGAGAGTTTGGTAAAATTTCTTGCAGTCCGAAGAATCCAAAGGCCGCTGTATGTAATGAAGAAAAGTATTTTTGTACGTTAAAATTACCAGCTTTCTCTAAATTCAGATTATTATTTAGACCTTCTTTAATCGAGTAAAAATATCCTTTCATTCAGTATATTACATATTTGCCTTTTCACGTGCGATATCACTTCCACATGTTCAACGTGATACCAGACATTGTTTTCCTGTTCCTCTTTTACATTATCAGATATTATTTCATTGTATCCAGCACACCTGATTAATATGGATGCTGTGAGTCCTATTTTGAAAATATCAAGCTTCTCCGCTTTTTCTTTACCAAATATATATATATATATATCTGTGTGTGTGTGTGTATTATTATTGAAGCATGTTATTTTAGAAGATGACAGTTATATAGTTTATTTGAGCATTTTCTTTCTTTTTTTTCCTTTTCGATATTTTTTTACTGCATTGCAAAGTATTTTATGCATATATATTTAAACCACTTACATATTGGTATTCTTCCATACAGTCATATCATATACAAGAGTCGTGTTTTATCAAATTTGTAATTTGAATTTTATTTTTATGGATTACATTTTATTAGATTACTTGCTAAGTTATATTAACCATTTTAATGACCTTTTGCGATTATTTTTTACAAGTACTTCAGGTTGTACAATTTTTCGTTCATGATATTAAAATGTTTTATCGACAGTAAGTATCGCTTTGTTTGTTTGTTTGTTGTTCATTCAACAATTGTAATATATTCTTGTATAGGAAATAAGTCTGCTCATACAGAATTTATTGAATCATCGTAATGTGAAATGTAAGTTCAACAATTATACATGCATATTCCTTGAGATACTCTAGCTTACATGTATTACGTTACTGTAAGCTTCGCCATGTATTCCGATGATAGTTTTAGCTTTTGCATAAGTCTTTTTCCTGGTTACACTATACATTGTGGATTCACTTCAAATACTTTAAAGTTGTACTGCTTACTTAGCTATATTTTGCTTTAAATCACAATACTCTTACTTGATTAAACTTTAACACGTTTATAAGTGTAGTAAACTTTCAGGTTACAATACACTTTTACATATATAACAATCGTCTTGGTAGTTTTATGAAATTCTATCCAATTTACCTTTAACCAGGCAAGTGGAGCTTCTGCTTTAAACAAGAGACTACTGGCCAAAGTGGAAAAGAAACAAAGTTTCGTCTTATCCTCCGAGTTGACATCAGATGCAGTGCTGGAACAAGTGGAAGAAGGAACACATGCTGTTTTAAAAGGCATCTACACTATAAGGCATGCCCTCTCGTTAAGGGTAACAAAGAAGAAGAAATGTAATCTCTACATTTCAAAAGAATCTCTTTATTCAAAATCCTTTGCTGTAGCATTCCGAAAAGGCTTGGATGATAGTTTAATCAGAAGAATAAACGAAAGGTAAGGCTGATCACATAAATATATATATTAACTGACCTATACATCTCGTCATCTGTATTTCTGTATCTACAAATATATTCGTACTGTATTAAACTTTTCTTTTTACAGGATATTATCAATAGTGGAAAAAGGATTATTCCAGAAGTGGACGGATGAAATGTCTAGCAACTATAGCTTCTGTCTAATACCAAATCAAGAAGCTGTGAGCTCTTTAACAGTCCAAGATATAGTGGGAGTCATGCTGTTACTACTAAGTGGTTACTTATTAGCCACGTTACTTTTGATCTTCGAAAAACTCAGTTTTTTCGGATTATCTGTAGCCTAAAAATCACGCATCTCTTTGATTCGAAACTACATTCCAGTTTTAAATTCCACTCACCAGATTTATCCGTTTCGTCCATATTTAGTAACTTCTGAACACAAGTAAACTATATACTGCAATTCAAATTTTTAAACAAACACTTCTACTTACTACATACAAACACATGCAATAAACTGATCCACCGAGATAACTATTTAAATATTCTATCAGTAGAAGTAAATATCAAAGCGTAACAGAGTTGGAACTGGAATTAGGGTATATGTTAAGGTTATAAATCAAGTAAGTATCGTCGTGAAAAGATTGAGTGTTTCTAGTTAATAAAATATGTGTAGAATACTATCTAAACTAGAATGTTTGTATTATTTTTTTTCATTATTAAGATTTATCTATATTATCTATAAAGCTAACGCTTAAGAATTACAACATAACTTATTGCAATAGCACATTTGAAAACATCATTATGTTGAAGCTCGCAATACCTGATAAAAATTTAAAATTTTGACAAAATTTAATTTATGTGAAATGTTTCAAACTGTCAGATTAGTATCGTCTGTGTCTAACAGTTTTCTGTGCCGTGACTAAACTTGAAAGTCAGGGGTTTATTTGTTTGAAAATAAGGCTTACTCTCCTAACTTCATCTTGTTATTTTTAAAAATAAATATCTAGAATTGGATAAATATGTTGAAAGATGTAGCAGAAACTAACCCTAACCCTATATTACACAACCAGTTACATAGTTTAAAAATTCAGTGATATTGTTTGGACTTTGGTAATTGGTTTTCAAACACCTAATTGCAAAAGAGCGGTTACATTACGTTATTTAAACTGTACGTGAACATATAGAGAGAATTTGAAAATACCACATTACATAATGCAAGTCACTGATTTTATTAATTCGTGGACATGAGAAAAGGACACAGATAGAAGTAGTTACTGAAGTGATTTACTCACTAAGAAGCATGCATACGATTTTTTAAGGTTTAGTTCAAATTACAAGCGCACGCAAAAAGAGAAACCATTCAGCTGAATACATACTTAAATTAAAAACCCAATTCGCACCCACCACTGACATGAGACATACAACAAACATTTGACTAGTATGCTGTGTACGACGTCGAATCCAGCTAACCAAAACACGAATCTTTGGTTTATGATCACTTGAATAAGCTTGAAGCTTTAGTCTAGAGACGAACACATATGGCACATCATATGGTGATGTGTGGTTCATCGAAAGCAAATCTCGAATTCGTTTCAATCGCACTACAACGTGTCTGTGTTATTTCCATTAATACTCTACTTGTGGTATAAACGCATACAAGTAGATACCATCTTTGAAATGCATCTGCTCGTTGACGTGCTTTATGACTCGGCCATTCAACAATCGGCGTCCATACAGCTCGGCGTCTTTCCGCCCTCTAGCCAGTCCAACAGTGATCAGCCAATCAACTAACTCCTTTCCCCAGAATACTGACTTGTATGTCTTAGACTTGAAGCTTAAAAAAAGAATGAAATATTATTGACACTGACTTTTAACTGCTTTTTTCTATATTAAATACGATTAGTAAGTTAGCACTATACTACATATTACAGTGCTTTTACCCATATTTTTATTTCAATCATAAAAGTTTAATGTGCTTTGAAACATTAAAATAAGACTAAAAATATTAGTAAACACTTGACTTCGATCATTGAAAAACATTTCACTTGCTACTCTAAAAGGAACCAATAGCACCACAAACTGTACGAATGAAAATGTTAGTTTCTTATTTCAATATGTAAGACGAGTTCAGGAGCAGCCTGCAAATGACAATTTTTATAATAAGGGGAGGGGAGGTGTAGAGTGACCTAGTAATTAGCGTACCAAGACAATGAATCCAAAGGTTCGTGGTTCACATTTCGTTACCTCAAAATCGCGCTCTGCACATTGGGACTTTGAGTGTTCTTAAAAAGTGACAGTCAAATCACACTATTTCTTCATACGAGAGCAGCCCAAGGGTAAGTGGTGGATAGCTTCCTGCCCCTGGGAACACTTTGGGACTTTGAGTGTTCTTAAAAAGTGACAGTCAAATCACACTATTTCTTCATACGAGAGCAGCCCAAGAGTAAGTGGTGGATAGCTTCCTGCCCCTGGGAACACTTTGGGACTTTGAGTGTTCTTAAAAAGTGACAGTCAAATCACACTATTTCTTCATACGAGGGCAGCCCAAGAGTAAGTGGTAGATAGCTTCCTGCCCCTGGGAACTACAGACGGTTATGCCAGATACCTTTTTGTGTAGCTTTACGCGAAACTGGCAACACTGTTTAGGTTTTTTAAACGAACTTTAATTTGATTAGGGTATATTTTCACACACAAAGCAGAAGTAAACCTTCTACGAAAACACCAAGAAGAAATATTGCTCTTAATACGTATTTAACCAGGGTCATTCGTAAAACTAATCCTACTTCTTTATCAACTATAAAACTCAAAATTTTGGATTTTGTTTTCTGTCAGTACTACATGCATCCAGCACAAAACCCTAAATCGTTAAATGATAAACTTGGTTAGAGAAGACCTCACTCGTGTCACATCTCTAACCGCTGTACTTGTTACACACGCAATGGAATGGCACTTCTTCACTCAAAATGTATAAAGTAGTGTCCAATTTAACTTAGTTAAACTTAAGTTTTATATAAAAATGTTAGATTTTCATTAATCAGCATTTAAATGAAACGTTGGAAAAGCTTAAGGACACATGCCCTGTGCCCTTGTAATTTACTGTACAGTCTCATGATATCATCTATCAAGGACATTGATTTATAAATTACCCATACGTGCTGGACTGTGGATCTTCAGGTCCAATGTTCGATGATGGTTCGGTGGAGTTATGCCTACAACTGTATGAGTTAAGCAGGTTTTATTAGAAACTGAGAAGGAACTCCTTTCGAAACACACAGTTCTTACTGTTTTTACTTATTATTATAAATAATGAAAAACATTCCTTTGAAAAAAAAACACTAATATAACCGCTACAAATCCAGCTTCTCTTTAACAAGTAGAAGAAACTGCTCCGGTCGGTCTAAAGCATAGTATAAAATTAGATTGTGGTCTATAGAAAATAACAATGCTGTCATGTTAACTACCATATAATTGTTTTTCATAAAACAATTATGAGTATTTGAAGTAGCATCAATTATTTTGTCTTTTTTATTAAAAAAAACATTATTTTTTGTCTGTTAATAAAAAACAATATAAAGTTATAGTTGAACTTTAATCCAGTAAACTACCGAGCTACAAGTTTCGTACTTTAAGCAACATCAGCAAAGAACTGACCATTTATCTCGTGGAAGATCTTGAAGGCAGTTCTCATAATGATACGTCAAAAATTGAAAACATGTAAATGCAGTATCATCGTCAAGTTGGTCTTCAAGCGGAAGTACAGGTCCTTGAGTTCCTTTTCGTAAAATTCTAATCCTGGAATAATACGTATTAAAACATAACGTTGCAGTTTCTTTAGAAATATCCTACAAAAATAGTATAAAAGCATTGAAAAAATAACAGTTATGATCTTAAACAAACAAGCGAACTAAGAAAACATCAGTGAAGAATCAAATATTGAATTAATATGCGAAAACACTAGTTCTTGCCATTTTGAACTTTCTCCAACTCACGTACTGAAAATCCAAGACATAACTCTTGATGTATTTGATGAATAAATGCTCACCTCTATAGGACTGTTGCTTTAGAAATTCATGACAAATTCGCATAAACTGTATGTAATAACAAGACTGGATGTCTAGAAAATGGTATATTTGGTATACACATATTGCTGAAACAAATGAAACTGTTTGCTATACACATAACAAAGTCAGTGCAATAAGCATTTGGGGCAATAAGATATTAAAAAACTGAAAAAAAAAGACTTTTAACAAGAATAAAATCTATTATTATTGTTATACTCAAAGTTGATATTAAAAACCTATTGAAAAGTCTAGTTGGAACTTCTTTGGTTGAAGAGTTGTCTATAATAGAGCGAAAGCGCAATCATCTATATAATCTCAATAAATTGATTTTTGTGGTAATCATGATCATTTTTAATTCACTAAACTAACTAAATTGAATGTTTTTAATATATAATACATGCTATAAATCACAGCGATTTACACACTTTACAACTCACTAGCTCGAAACTAACAGAATCATAAATTACACGGAACTCAAAGTAACTACTGCTCTCTCTTCATTTATTTATCCCCTCTGAAAGCTGCCATTTTCTGACCTTGAATCCTAATAAATATACCAACCTTGGTACCTCTGTGATGGACATAACAAGGATTCGAATTCAAGAGCTCTGGCCATTGCATCTTGCATAGTAGAGGGGTGTGCTTGTTTTATATGTATCTTCAGTTGTGGACTGTCCAAGGCGTCTACAATCTGATCCCTCAGCAACAGCTTGAGGACATTGGGTGGCGCAGTTGGGTTGGCCTTGTGTGCCATACTTTCCAAATCCTGTGCCAGCTCTTGCAGGCTCTCCCCTTTAGCACGGACTCTAGTTCTAAACCTAGCCCTGTAGACTTCGGACTGATTTTGAGTTCCATACCTGATTTCTAG